TACAGCAACAGTCAAATAAAGCAAACAGAAGTCAAGAAGAATCATATAAAGCAATGCAAGAAAAGAAGACAGAAAATGAATAAGCAGTTGAAAAAAAAGCATAAAATAATATTAAAAGCATACAAAAGAAAATAAGTATAGAGGTTAGTTTAATAAACAAAAGCCAAGTAGAAGGAAACTTATCTACTCAAAAAAGAAACACAAAAGAACAAAAAGAGAAGTATGAACAAGAAAGTACTAAAAAAGAAATCGAAAGAGAAATTGACATATTTGAAGAACCCTTAGAAGAAAGCATGTAGGCTTCAAAAAAAGAAACTGCAACTAAAACAACAGTCTACTTGCTAATATACTAGTGCATAATATACTTAGTGAAATGAAAAAAGACCATATGAAATTCATTAGATGTTCTTTAAGAAACAATATGCATATTAAAGACATTAGAGAAGTTTTCAAAAGAAAAAACTTATAATAGAGATAGACTTTAATTGTGAATATGGCAGAAGTGAGGCAATACAAAGAATTAGCAAAAAGGGGAGTAACTGGTATAAAATGATACCAGAAGAGAAAGAGAAAGGTAATAGGAGAAAACAAATACAATATAATAAGAGATATTAGAAAAAAAGAAACAATAAAACAAGAACCAAAGAAGAAGAACCTGAGTAAGAAGAAAATGAAACCAAGACAAATGAAAACCAACACAAAATAAGTAAAGAATTAGAGAACACAAACTATATAATAATATAGAACTTGCCAATAAACATAAACAAAAAAAAAGTAGAATACATTTGCAGAAGATTTAAAAAAGCCTATGTAGTAAGAATTAAAAGGTTAAAGTATAAGGCCTTAGCAATAGTACAAATAAAAGAAACATATAAAGACATACTATAGGCTATATCAATAAGTAATAACAAATTAGTACAAGTAACTAAAGGAATAAAGAATCATAAAGCAAGAGAAAGACAAAGAAGATATATAACAAAATTGACAGAATTATCAGAAAGTGCCTTAGAAGTTTTACTATTATGAAGTTTAAAAAACAAAAAAGTTAAATCAGTTCACATACCTTCAAATAGAAATAGAAATCAAAGAAGAACAGCAACAGTCATGTTTGTAACAGAAGAAGATATAAAATCAGCCCAATCAAAACTATTCATGTTTAACAACTTTTGACTTCATTGGATAAAAGAAGAAATAGAAAGAACAAGATGAAGAGAAAGCCTCAAAAAAAAAAAAAAAGAAGCTAGAAAAGGTTTAGTCAAGCCTCTGATACAGAAAAGAACATCAACAGAGAAGAAGAACAAGAACATAGATTAAGCATAAACAGAAGAAGAAAAAAACAAAATTAAAGAGTAGAAGATTGGATAACAACAAGCAGAGGCTATACACAAAATCAAGTTACAGAAAATGAAGCAAGACATATAAACTTATTTAGAAAAAAAAACAAACCTCATAGAAAAAAAATAGCTGAAACCAAGTTCCAAGTACAAGAAGAATCCTTGTATACAAGTAAAATTCTGAGGTGAATTATAGAAAACTTGAGAAATTAGAGAACATAAGAGGTACAATAGAGAAAACTTTGGCTGATTACTTCTAAGAGTGCCCCAGTTGAACCAATAAGTATAGACCAGAAGATTAAAGAGTTTTTGCATGAAGAAAGAAGAAATTTTGAAAGAAGCAATATGGAAACACCTTCTGGTTACAAAAAAGAAACAAATAAAAAAGAAAAACAAAAAAAAGTAGACATGAAAACACAACATAAATATTTGAAAGAAAAATGGAAACAAGAAAGAAAAGAAATTAAAATTGCATATTACAACATTAATGAACTTAAAACCAGGGGTTGGAAGTTAGAAAATCTTATAGAATGAGCAAGTGAAGAAGAACTTACAATAGTAAAAATAATAGAAACAAATATTACAAAAAAGAAAAAAAAGTTTTTATTATACAATTGTAGAAAACATTATAAGAATTACTGAATTAGTGCAGCAACAAACAAAAAAAAAGAGTCAGATATAGAAATATTAATAGACAGAAGATAGAAAAAGCATGTAGAAGCAGTTAAAAGAATCAGTAAATACTTGCTAGAAATGAGATTATATTTTAAACAACTAGAGCTAGTAGTATTAGGAGTATATATCTTACCAAATAACAAATTGATCAGCAAGAAAATTCAGCAAAGAATTATAGAAGTAGTAACAAACAAAAAAAGAGGTACAGAAATAGTTATATTAGGTGACTTCAATTACACAGTAGATAACATACTAGATAGACAGCATCTACAAACATCAAGTTATAAAAGACTACTAATATTTAGCTACCTCAAAAGACAGAACTTTGTAAACTTATTTAGAAACATGCATCTAGCAAAAAAAGCATACACATAGTCAAATCAGGAGGTTGCAACAAAAATAGATTACATCTAATTATCAGAAACATTTGCATTAGACTTACAGAAAGTAAACATAGAAGAAGCAGAAGGTCTAACAGATAGTAATCACAAAATAATAACAACAGAGGTATAGATAAAATATGTAATTACAAACTGCAGTAAGACAGAAACCAAACATAAAAACCAAACAAGAATAATATATCTATATAATGAAGCAAAACAAGAAGACTAGAAAGAGTATGCAAAGAAGCTACAAAACCAGCTAGAATAGAAAAAAATACTAAGTTAATTAGAAAATAATAAAGCAAAAATAGATTATAATACAGATAGACTTGATCAAATGTGAGATGCAATAGAAGAGACCATAATTGAAGCAGCAAACAAGCAAATTCTAAAGAAAAAAATATTTAACACAAAGGCAAACAGAAGACAAGATCAAAAAAAGACAAAACAATGCAAACATATTATTGAACTTCAACAAATAATTAAGAAAGCAAAAAGTATGAAGAATCAAGATATAGAAGAGGAAGAAGAAATCAAAATAAACAATAAACTAAAAAATATAGAGAAAGTTTTAGGAGTAATATTATCAAAACTAAACAGACAATGATCAGAGGCCTGAATAGATAATATTAAAAGTTGGCAAAGAATAATCAGAGAGAAGAATAAGAATAAGTACAGAAAAAACAAATAGAAGAAAACATAAGCAGAAGATGCAAAATGATTAAAACTGATCAAAAATAAATAATTTGTAGTCTACTAAACAGATTATACAAGAAGATTATTCTAGACAGATTTATAATACAAGATAAAAAAGAAGTGGATCTAGTATCAAAGCCAAATGCAGTTCTAAGTGGTTTGGCAGCATACTACAAGAACCAATTTAGAAAAAAGAATACCAAACTAAAAGAAATGACAAAAGAATAAAAAGAAATATATAAACTGAAGAAGTGGATTGATGAGGTTGGTATAAAAAATTAGAAAAAAAAATAGAAAAAAAAGAATAAGAAGATATACTCAAAGAGCTTAAAGTGAATATAGCTCTAGAAATATTAGGTATAAGCTACATATTAATAAAATGAGCAGAAAAGAAATCACAGAAAATATTTAGAGCATTCACAAATCTGATCATAAAGAAAGAAGATATATCAAAAAAGTAAAAAATAGCACAAATATATCCAATTCTGAAAGATGTAGATTGGAGATATTGTCTAAACACATTAGACCAATAGCATTAATTGAAATTTTCAGAAAAGTTGTTACAAAAATAGTAACAAGAAGACTAGCCAGAGTGTTTACGAAAAAAAACATATTCAAGAATTCAAATTTTATAGGTCTTTTAGGCAACTCTACAAAGCAACTTATACATATACTAAATATGATAATGGAGAAGGCACAAGTAGTGCTCCTAGGTTCAGTTCAGTTCAATTTAGGTTCATGAACCAAGTTCATTGAACCTGAACTGAACCTCAAATTTTGCAGATCATTGAACATGAACCTGAACTGAACTTAAAATTTATGAACCTGAACTGAACCTGAACTTAAAATTTGGTTCAGTTCAGGTTCAGTTCAAAGTTCATGAACATGTTTAGGTTCAATATTATATATATATTTTTTATATATAGAACAATTTACTTAGAGAATAGAGATAGAATTAATTAATAAAATTTTAAGAATTATAATATTTTTTATAATTTTATTAATAAAATTATGAAAATTGTTATAATTCTTGAAATTTTACTAATTAATTCTATTTCATTCTTTAAGTAACTTTGTTCTACACATAAAAATACATTATATCAGCATATATTTATTTTATAATTTTTAGTTCTAAAAAAAAGATGTTTAATTTTGGATTTTTGATGAAAAAAATTCAAAATTAGTGTTTTTAGTTTAGTTTAAATTATGAACCAAGGTTTAGTTTAAATTATGAACCAAGTCTATTGAACCTGAACTGAACTTTAAAATTTGCAGATATTGAACCTGAACCTGAACTGAACTTCAAATTTTGCAGATCATTGAATCTAAACCTGAACTGAACTTAAAATTTATGAACCTGAACTGAACCTGAACTTGAATTAAAAGTTTAATACTGAACCTGAACTGAACCTGAACCTGAACTTGACCAAAGTTCAGTTCAGTTCAGGTTCATAGGAACACTATTTGTAAGTAGATAAAGTTTATTTCTGAAGGTTACTTTTGCTGATATCACTTTGTTGCTGTGTAAGATTTTGAAGTTCTTTAGTTTAATATTTAGTTTTCTAATTAGAATAGCTATTTTGAAAGATCAAATTGAGTCATAATTCCATTGTTGTGCTAGAAACTTTCTTGTTGCAGAATTATTTAGATTTGTTTCTTGGATAAATATTATATCTAACTTATAAGACTTTAAAAGTGTTAGGGTTTTTTGAGCCTTAACTTTATTGTTAAGGCTCTTGACATTCAGTGTGGCAATTTTAATCATGAGATATAAAGAGATATGTTGGCCACATGGCAGTTTGTTCTGAGTGGGAATGATTAACTAGTAGGAAGAAAAGCCTGTTTGGACATTCTCTGTCCTACTCTTATTACTTTCCTTATTTGTTGTAAGGGTTTTCTTCTTGTTTCCTTTTCAGTTGTTCTTTTTTGAAGTGACCAAAGTAAATTTTTTCTCTTCAGTTTTGTTTTCTTTGTTACAGTCCAATGGTTCCATTGTTATATTTTGGTCATAGTTTGTAGCAAGTGTTTCATTATTTGTGTTCTTGTAATTAGCTTCTATTGAAGGTGAACCATGTTTTGAAATAGAGATACTAGTTGTGTTTTCCTTAAGAGTTAAGTTCTGATCATCTATAGTATTGATTGAGTCATTTTCTTTTAGATGATTAGAATTTGGTACATTAGTGTTTGGTCCATCTTGTTCTGTGACCATATCTGAGATATATGGGTTTTTTGGATTGTAGGATATATTTTCTATTTGCATTTTTTGGTTAAGTTTGTTTGTTTCCATTAAGGATTTCTTTCATTTTTTTTGTAACTGTCTTAGTTCCATTGAAGCTCTAAGTTCTGTGCATTCTTTTTTAATATGTCTTGTTTTTTCACAATAATAACATATTTTTGGAACCTCCTTCCAGTCTGTAGTAACTTTGTGGTCACCAACATGTGTGTCTAGGTAGTCTGACCATCAGGTTTGGATCATTTGATATTTCAAAAGTTACAATCTATTGGTTAGAGCATATTGGGGTTCCTTCATATAAAAGTGGTTTTATAGAGGCAATAGTGCCAATATCCTGGAAAGCTTTCTTAATCTGTTCATTAATAACTTCTTTATTGCCCATTGGTGTGTTCTTCAATTTAACTGAAAGGAATGTATGCTTAAGATTAACTGAGACATATCCAAAGAATGTTTGTTTAAACATTGAAATCCCTTCTGAAGTGTACAGTTGTTGTTTGTCTTTATCTGAGAAGGCTATTTCTAAGAGAGCCTGTCTGCCTCTGATAATGTGAGTTTTTGCTGCTAGCATATCTTCTCCAGAGGGTTGAGATGATGTCATTGGTAGGTATGTTGGTAAGCTTAGAAATGTCAAAAACAAGAGCATTTTCATTCTTAGAATAGATCTTGTTTCTGGGTGCTGTGTTAGAGAAGGTTGTCTTGCCTCCTTTCAGCTTTGAGAATAAATCTGACCATTTTTTGGGTTTGTTGTTAGCTGGTTTGTCATTCATATCATCTGATGTTGTGCTATTAATGATTTTGTCTTGTGTATCAATTTTGTTATGTGTGATGTGCATGTGTTCTGTATCTGTTTGTTTGTTGTTTTTTGTATTTGCTACTGCACATGTCTTGTTGTTTTTTACCTTGTTGTTTTCACTTGTAAAAGAAGTAGCTTTTTGTTTGCCTTTACCAACCGGTTTTTCTTCTTGTTCTATGTTACTGGCCCAGTTTTTATCACCTTGGTTGTTGCTTTTACTTGGTTTACTATTTGGTAAATATGGTGTGTTTGCTGTTTCTGCTTCTACAATAGGAGTTTTTTCTTGTTCTAATGACAAGTCAAAGTCCTTTTTTTTGGCTCTAGTGTCAAGAAGTTTTGGTCTCTTGGGTATCAAGCTGCTCATGTTTGACAGAAATAAGTTTCTTTTCTTGAGTATAAGGGCTTTAGCCCTACCAGAGGAGTTTTAAAAAAAGTTTTTATTTAGTTTTTGTGAAATTTTGTTATTTTTGTATTGTTACTAAAAGTGTACCAGAAAGAGTTTTTTAGTTGTTTCAATTTCTCTTTCAACTTCTGTATACATTTCTCTTTAATATTTTCTTGTAGTTTATATATTTCTTTCCACTCTTTTGACATCTCTTCTAATCTTGCATTTCTTTTTCTAAATTGTTTTCTGTAGTGTTCTGTGACTCCTACTCTAACATCTTCTAAGCTTGTTAGTAGATTCATTTTTTCTTCTATTTGTTTGATAAATCTGTTAAGTACTATTTTCTTATAAGGCCTATTTAAAGACTTGCTATCATCTTTCCCTGATCTGTTCTAATCATTTCACATCTTTTATCTATATTCTCTTCTATTTGTTTTCTTTGTATTCACTCTTAGTCCTTCTTTTATCCATGCATTTGACTATTGTCTTTGTAGTTTTGGCAGTTTTGCACTGATTTTCTTGTCTAGTATCTTCTTTTCTCTTCTGTTACTGCTTGTGTTTTTTTTAGCTTTTGCATGCTTAATTAATTTCTGTAACTTAACAATGCTTTCTTCTTGTTGCTGTTTCTTCTAACTTCTTCTTCTGTTAGTTATTGTGTTAAATATATTTTTCTTGAGTATGTGTTCATTTGCTGCTATAATAATAGCTTCCTCTATTATATCTCATATATAGTTTATTCTCTCTGTTTTTCTTTTCTTAATTTGTTCTTTCTTGTGAATGTCTTTTAGAACCTCTTTTATTTCTAACTAATTCTGTAACTCTTGTGCATAATTTTCCAAATCTTCTAATTTTGCTTAATTGTATAAGTATATTGTTTTTAACTGCCTCTTTCTTTTAATCTTTGCCTTGCTTTTAACTGCTATTATATGTTTGATCCATATTTATACTATTACTATCTTGTGATCACTCTCTGTAATCTCTTTTACTTCTTTGATTTCTGCCTTTTGTAGGCCTAAGACTAACCTATCTGATATTCATATATAGTTAATTCTTGTTGCTGCTTCTTTATTTGACCACATGTATTGTTAACCTATTGGATACAAGTCTCTATACATGTTTCTAAAGTCTTGTTTCTTCATCCAACTAAAGATTGGCAACCTTTTATAGTTTGTTGTTTGTGGATGTCTGTTTAGAATATTGTCCACTGTATTATTAAAATCACCTATTATGATAATTTGTGTTTTCTCTTTCTCTTTAAAATCATTTCTACAATTTTTGTTGAATGTTTCTCCTTACTACTTTATCATTTGGTGGTATATATGCAGTAATTACAATTAATTCTAATTGTTTGAAGTATAGTGTAATCTCTATTATATATTTGCTTATTTTTTTTTCAAAACATGAAATAGTGTACTTTATTTAATAAATTACAAATACATTATTATTAGACTAATTATCACTATTTATTTATAGTTAGATTTAAGAACCTAGTTATTTTGGCCTTTGCCTTGTTTTTAGACATTTTATCTAAAACTTTGAGACTTTTAATGATTTTGGCCTTTGTAATATTCTTTATAGCTTCTTCTAGAATAAAGTTATTTCTCCATCTAGCTTGAGTATACCATAACTATATTTCATATATTATCGTAATATGAAGCCAAAATGCAGACTTTCTTTTTTTTAAATCTTTTATATTTAAGGCATTTAGAATTTCTTCCATTGACTGGAGATGGTTTTCTTCTGCATTGCCATTTATAAAAAAGAACCCAGACAAGTAAAAGCTATTTCAAACAAATACAGACCTGCCAAATGTATTACTATGGAACTTAGAACCCATTTAGCAACTTACATTTTTCTTGTTCCTACAACAACTGCAATGATCAAGTGTATATATAGATTATTTCATACTCAATTCATTGCAAACATATGAACTCAATATTCAAACTAATAAAACAACAATTAACAAATAAGCTAAGAAACTCCAACAAGTATTCAAGAAATCTACATTTAATATTTTATCATTCTCTACAGCTATCATTTATACACATACTTGTTCTAGATATCAAATCCCAATAAACTGCAAAGTTACTAACAATAACCACATATAACAAAATAAATCTACCTTTTATCGAAATACAGTATATTATAATAACTGTTTAGCCAAAATTTACAAAGAAATTAGCTTAGCCAATCAACCCAAACCCCAACTTACTGAAAATCCAGAACAAGGTCTATCCTCATAATATAAACTTTCAACTCAACAGCTTATTACTTCCTTACTTGACTAATATCCAAACAATCCTCTTGTTTTAGAACTTATATTTACTTCACCTAACTTAGAAGAAACAAATACTACAAACAATGATATGAATATTGATAGCTCCACTACACTATCAAAATCACAACAATGACAACAACAAACTTAACAAACACAACAACAACCTCTATATCAAGCTTTATCACTACCAAATAAACAACAATCTAACAAAAAAGTATCAATCTTATAGTTAAGCAACAAGACCCAAACTCAACCCATTATATAATTTCTTAGTAAACTTTTCAGTTACTGATGAAATGCAAAACTATACAAAATTATAAACATGATATCTCAAAAACTCTTTAACATTCTTAAAGAACATCTTCATAACTTCTATTCTGACAAAATTATTAAAGAAGCAGTTGAAAATCAAGATCCAAATTAAAAAGATCTGCATACATTCTCTCCTGAACACACAAGTTTTGAAGTAGAGTAACTCTTTTTGTTAAAAATAAGAACAAACAACAAGACAAAACTAGCTAAAGCACTTACTAAAACAAGGACCCTTGCCCTTGTTTCAAGAAAAAGGTCCTTTACAAAATTTCAATATACAAAAAGCATAAAAACAACAAAAAAAATGGCATTAGCAAACAGCAGAAAAAAGCAAAGAAAAACAAAAAAAACATATCAAGTTCTTCAAGTTTGATGACTATTGAAAAAGAGGCTACTAGACACAAGCAAAAAGAAAAGCAAGCACTAAAAGAAACCTTTAGTAAAAATTTAGAAAGCTGGAACAAGCAAGTAGAACTGGAAATAGAAAAAATAAAAGCCATTCAAGACCAAAAAGTAAACAAAACTAACACATCTAAAGACACCATAAATGTAACAACAAACAACATGTCCAAGGAACAGGTAATATTAGACAACACAGAGGAAACTGAAGACACAACAGAACAGAAGCTAGATGCACCAAAAAATGCACAAAGTGATAGCTTGCTAAATAAGATACAGAAAACTAACTCCTATGCTAACTCACAAGAAAACAGTGACAAACAAAAAGGCTCAAAAGAAACACTAACAAAACAGTGGTCTAGTCTCTTTTCAAAAACAGTCCACCTACTTCTTCTTCAAGGCATGCATAGCTTCTTTAATGAAATCATGACCTTATTATTCAAGAACCTCAAAGAGAACATCATAGTAGCAAAACAACACTTTACAAAAGGAACATGTACACATGTAAAAATTGTATTTGAAAACAAAGAAAAATTAAAACATCATGTGCTTAAGGGAATTAATATTTTTGGCAGAACCTATTTTGGCTTTATTTCTACAGATTCAAGAAAATCATTCCTTCCAGTCAAGATCAAAAATGTTTTACTAAGGAACAAAGAAGCATTATCTAATGCTATAAAAGAGCCTTTGAGTTTGTTAGTAAAATAGAAACATCATACCTTACAGACCAATGGATTATAATCTTTGATAACTCAGATGACCCTAACTTAGAAAACAAAATTCCTTATTTCACACATGTGTAGGACAATAAAGTTACAACAGAATAGAAATCAGCACCCAAAATATGCTACTTCTGTGAAAAAGAAGGCTATGTCAAAAAAGAATGTTAACAATTCCAAGATTCAGTAAACTTACGAATTAGCTACCAAAAATACAAAAAGGATAAACACAACAGAAGATTCTCAGATGACTTCCAAGAGTCAAATAAGACTCTAGAAAATACTGAACAAACTAATAAAGAATCTTTATTACCAAAAAATCAGGAACAACCAGAATTAGATGATGCAAAAAATGATGCACATATGGCCTTAAAAGAGACTGATCCTAACCATCAATAGAACCTTCAGCCCCTAGTTCTAACAAAACCAGCTACAATCAACATCAGCTCAGATGAACAAATGCAAATGATAACTCAAGAAAATTCCTTACCAGGTATATAAATGCTGCCAAGAGATAAACTTGTCATTTATTGCTATGGAACATCACATTCATTTGCAAGTTGTATTCCCAAGGCAACATCCCCTCCTGACAATAATGAAAAAACAGATAGCTTTATTACAGTCACTAAGAAGAAAACAAAAAAAAAAACAGAACATCTAAAAAGAATTAGACAAGTTCATTTTCTTATAAAAAAACTTATGAAAAAGAAAGTTACTCCCAATCTGCTCTGAAATAAATTCATTTTTTTCCATTGGTATATTTTGAATTCTGACTAATAGGAAGTTGCATCTGATGTTTATAGGAATATACTCTTGTAAGGTTTGTTTAAAAATAGTAACACCTTTAGCTGCATATTGCTGTTGTTTGTTTTCATCTGAAAACACAACCTCTAAATGGGTTTTTTTGTTTTTGTTAATCACTGGCTGGGCTGCAACAAAGTCTTCTCTTATTTCTTGTTTCAAAGCTTTTATGATTCTTGTAGTAGAGATGTTTTCTAAACTAAATAATTTAAAGATGATTTAAAAACTCTTTCTGGTTCACAACCAGAAATATAGCAAATACAAAATTTTGTTACAAAAACTAGAAGTTACTTTTCAAAACTCAAGTGGAGT